GCGGAGGCCCACGCAGCAGAGATGAATTAGCGGCAGGAAAAGAAAAGAAAGAGTGATGAGTCCACCTCCTCCACTGGGAGAAAGTGCTGGTTCTGCAAACCTGCAGCTAGAAGCAGGGACTCAGTCCTCACATTCATACACAGATCCCTGTCTGTCAGGAAAATACATCACTGCCCTGCCAAAGTATTCTCCCTGTACAAGGACCATGGGATGGAGACGCAGATGTTCCAGCAGTCTCCTTTTTAGACCGGGAGAGGGAAAGTGGCGTGTAAATAAATGAGCTATATGCTGTCTATTGTAGCTATTGTAATATAGTTACTATATTATACCTGTCTGTTCATAAAGTTTTATAAATATTTTAATTATTAAGTAAATATATACTTAATATGGATTATATCTAAATTATAAAAATTTCATTAGTAAAGTCCTGCATCTACAGTTCTGTATAGTCACTCTCACCGTCACAGTCACAAGGCTCATCACACAAATACTAGTTTAAAAGATAAATATAGCATGTTGTGTTTTTTCTTCAAAGTGTAATTCTTAAATTTGTAATAATCTCTGTTTTTACATCTGTTCACAAAACTAGTATATAAAGTCATACATTATTGAGGTCTTTCTTTTTATTGATCATATATTTCAGGCAAACAACAGTATATTTGACAAAACAATCCTGATAGAAAATAGAGTTTCAGTTCAGTGGCCAGATCAACAATATGCCCACTATACCGGCTAGGCCCCCGCGGCCGACATGCCTACTTCCAGATCAGACGAGATCGGGCATCCTCAAGGTGGTAATTGGCCGTAAGCACGGGGTATGGAGTCAGCGTGCCTCCTGACCCCCTGCAGCAGCGGTCCTCTCCTCCCCAGAATGAGCGCTCAGGCCATTACAAAATCCGGGTCACAGTGTGCTGACCTAGAACATGCTGGCAGACGGACTGAAAGGAGTTGTGCAGCATTGAAGCAAATTGTGTGCACGTCTCCCTCCAACCTGATTAGCTTTTTGTATAGCTCACAGCATTCTCATTTTACAATTTAAAGGCCTCTGTGAGGAGGGAGGAGGGACAACAAACTACCGCAACAGCACGAATCCCAGAAGTTTCACAGTAATATACAGGGCCGAAAAGTCTAATCATGGTTTGATGGGGTGCACACATTGCTCAATGCTGCACACCACTCCTTTTCAGACCAGTCCTGGCACATGATCAGGTCACACACTGGAGACCCGATTTTGTAAAGGCCTGAGCGCATCATTTCTGGGGGAGGAGAGACCGCAGCCAGCAGGGTCCAAGGAGGCACCTGCTCCATACCACCCGTGCTTACGGTCAAAAAAGGCGTCGGCTGAAGCATAAGCTTTATAATGCCTGCCTTTACAACAACAACATGTGCCTTTGTGTTTTTCCTCATTGGAAATACAAAAAGAAAGTAAAAAATAAAAATAAAAAAACATCAGGCCGTTTATCCATTAAGGAGATACAGAAACAGAAAATTATTGGACAAATTTCAAGTATCTGACAAGAGTCTTATTTTTATATAATCTTTTAAAATGAAAGAGAGAGGTGCACTGTTTGAGTTCCTCTGTACAGTTATTCCAGAGGTCGACCCCTTTAATAGAAATTCAGGAACCCATTGTATCTGTTCTAAAATATTTTTTATTGAAAACTTCTCCTCCTCGAAGCTCATAATGGCTTTGTCTTATGTCAAAAATATTTAGCAGCGCTTGGGACAAAAGTTTGTTTTTAACTCTAAACATGATTTTTAGAGTATATAACTCTACAAGGTCATAAAATTTCAATGTTTTAAGGTTTGTAAATAAAGGATGAGTTGACTGGTTGTAATTCGAGAATGTGATGAGCCTTATTGCCTTTTTTTGCAGTATAGCGATGGGTTTGGTGTTTGTTTTGTAGGTATTTCCCCAAATCTCTATACAGTACGTTATATATGGCATTATTAGTGAGTTGTATATAATAAGTAAACTCTCTTTATTTAGATTATGTCTAGATTTATATAATATTGCTATTGTTTCAGATAATTTAATTTTGATATAATTTGTGTGATTTCCAATTTAAATCCTCATCAATGATTACTCCTAAAAATGTATTTTTATTTACTCGTTCTAATGGCATATTGTTCAGCGTTAAGCTTACTCGATTGTCAATTTTACGATTTGAAAATATCATGTATTTCGTTTTTTTAATGTTTAAAGATAATTTATTAATATCAAACCACATTTTAAATTTGTGCAACTCTCTTTCCATCATTTCCACAAGCTGATTTAAATCATGACCAGAGCTGTACAAGGTGGTGTCATCCGCAAATAGGACACAATTCAACTTTACCGACACATTGCACAAATCATTAATGTAGATAATGAATAATTTAGGTCCTAGAATGGATCCCTGTGGAATTCCATAAGTTATTTTAACCATTTCTGATTTTGTATCATTTATTTGTACGTACTGGTGCCTATTTTCTAAATAACTCTGTAGCCATGTATGCACTGGTCCTCTAAATCCGTATTTTCTTAGTTTTTGTAATAGGATGTTGTGATCTAGGGTATCAAAAGCCTTCATCAGGTCAATAAATACCCCAACACTGTATTGTTTGTCATCAATTGCTTTGGAAATGTTTTCTCCACCAAATCCATAACAGCCATTGCAGTGGAGCGGTTCTTTCTGAACCCATATTGGTGATCGCTCAGTAGTTCAAGTCAAGTCAAATCAAGTCTTTGAACAAACACCTTCTCGATTATTTTTGAAAATTGGGAAAGCACAGAAATAGGTCTATAGTTTGAGAACGAGTGCTTATCACCAGTTTTGAATATCGGAATAACTCAATTCTTAACTCAATAACTCAAAAGCAATTTTCATAACATCTGGGAATATGCCTTTTTTAAACGACTGATTACATATATATGTTAGGGGCTGTGCAATGGGTATAATTGTGTTTTTTATTAATTTCATGTCTATATCATTTATGTCTTTAGACGTTTTTTCTTTAAATTTGTTTACAATTTGTACTACTTCTTTTTCATTTGTAGGATTAAGGTAGAAGGAATTCATATTAGTTTGAACAGCCTCACTGGGGTTTATATTTATTCCTTTATTGTCAATGTCTTTTGCAAGATTGGAGCCCACATTTGCAAAATATTTGTTGAATTCATCAACTATTTCTTTTAGGGATTCTAATTTGGTATTTTCCTTTTTCATGTAATTTGGGATTTCTGACTTTTTTCGTCCTTCCTTTATGATTCTATTTATCACACTCCATGTACCTTTTATATTTTGTTTTTGTGCTTCTAATTGGGTTTATAAGTACTCCATTTTTCTATTTCTCATAATATTTACTAATTTATTTTTGTACTTTTTATATTTTCTTTCAGCATCTACTGTTCTATTTTTTACAAATGTTTTGTACAATTGGTTCTTCTTCTTACAAGCTCTTTCTAATCCCTTGGTCATCCATGGTTTTTTTTTAGGTTTGGATCTATCCTTTACTCTTTGTAATGGAAAGTTTTGATTGAATAGTTCCACATATTTTTGCAGGAACGATTTATATGCCTCACTAGGATCATCTTTAGAATATACGTGATTCCAGTTTTCTTTGCCCAAATCCTGTTGAAAATGTTGTAGTGACTGGGTTGTCTGGTGTCTTATGAGTTTATACTTTGATTCATTTTCATTTTTTATTTTTAAACGATTGTGGAAGACAGCAAAAACAGGGAGGTGGTCACTAATCAGAAGGCCACCAACTATTTTATTCTCAATTTTATTTGAAAATATATTGTCAATCAATGTAGTTGTATCCACTGTAATCCTGCTAGGCTTATTTATGATTGGAACCAGCATGTTGCGGTACATCATGTTACAGAAGTCTGCAGTTTTACTGTGAGCTGTAACATTTAGTAGATCAATGTTAAAATCACCACATACTATTTGTTCTTTCGCAAAGTTTAAGTTTACCACTTCATTCATTTTTTCATTAAATAGATGTATGGAGGATCCTGGGGTTCTGTATACACAAGTAACAAGTACATTTCTGGAGTTTTTAGACTCAATTTCAACTGTTACACATTCAAATAGATCCTGTATTGCAATTGATTTGTTTTCAATACATTTGTAATGCAAAGCTGAATCCACATACAAACCAACCCCGCCACCCCTTTTACTGTGTCTATTTACTGTGACCAGCTCATACCCTTCCATTTTCACCTCTGTGATTTTATTTTCATCCAGCCAAGTTTCAGATACAGCAATAATACTAAATTTGGAGAGTGATTGCAATAGTTCCTTTATTTTGTCAAAGTTTTTCCAAATGCTCCTGCAATTTATATGTATAATTGATAAATGTTCATCCATGTCAACCTTACTTTTGAACTGCTCTGCTGTGAAATACTCACAACTAATGTTTAAATCGTCGTAAAATTGCATTTCTGGGTTTAAATCATGTTCCATATGAGTCAGTTTATATTTTGATGAGACAGAAGTGTTGATATACCCTCTGTGAGTTCACCTGATTTCTTTGATGATATTTCGTCCAGTTCCACGCACTGTTCCGAGTCCTCTTTGTCAATAACTCCAAAATTGAATATAATAAAGGAAAAAATAACCAAAACTTCCAGCCAAAAAAAAAAAAAAAAGTCATCAACTCCGGAGCCAGGTCCACTTCGGTGCATAGAATCCAAATCAAGTACGCTTTCTTGATCTCGCAGAAATCCACTTAAAGTCTTGCCGATATTCCAAACATACGGGAACATAGATTCATCGTCGCTCTTGATTCGATTGACAGTCATCCTTTTGGAGTCAAGTGCCTGTTTATTTATACTGATCCATATCATTCAGATTTCTTATTGTCACAACCTTTGCTTCTTCTGGCGCACCATTGAGCCGTATTTTCACTTGGCCATTTCGCGTCCACGTAGCTTGAATTTTGTTCTGTTTTCTCAGACTCCTCGCATGTCTGGCAAGATCTGCATTCTTTTTTGTAAGGTGCTCATTCAGATACACTTCTGTGCCCTTTAGTTTCTTAGCTTGACGCAGCAAGTCAACCTTGTGCTTCCTGTTAAAGAAGCGCAATATGATGGCTGGCTTTGCATCTCTGTCCTTTCTTGGCAACGTGTGGCAAGCTGATATTTTCTCGGGGGCAATTTTAATATCTTTACTCAAAAAGAACTGAACAACTTGCCTCTCCAGAGTCTGAAGCTCCTCCGTGGGAGCCTCGTCGCCTCTTTCAGATGTAGCCGCTGCTGTAGCCCGAGCGTAGCTACAATGTCTGGTTACAAGTCCACTCACAATTACATCCTCCATTCGTGTATACTGCTCCAGATCATCGACTCTACGTTCCAACTCTTGAATTATGGCATCTTTTTCTTTGATCATCCTTTTAAGCTCCTCCACTTCAGGGAGCAGGGTGAGCAATCTAGCCTGTTGCTCAGCTAATCTGCTCAACTCACTCGAAATAGAAATCAGGGTTTTTTTAATATCTTTAACATCCTCCTCCATAGTGTGTGTCCGTGTTTTAGGTGGCATTTGATATATTGTCATTTGATTTCCTTTTCTTTAGGTTTTAATCCCTGTTATTTCAGTTTTAAGGAAACATGACGCAGCAGGTGCGCTGCGTCAGGGGTGTGGAGTTGGTGAGTATTGTGTTTGTGTTGTGTTGAATGTTCAATGTCTTGTGTTGTAATCATTTGTGTAAATGTAATGTCTGTGAGTGGAGTGTTTGGGCGGGTGGTTGTATATATGCGGAAGCTTCTATCATGGCAAGGCAAGTTTATGTGTATAGCACGATTCATACACAAGGCAACTCAAAGTGCTGAACAAAATAAGATAGCATTAAAATCATAATCACAGTACATTAAAAAGAAAGATACAAATATAAATCAATATATATATATATATATAAAATATCATCCCCTTTCAAACCAAGCAGACTGTATATATATGTTTTCCTGTCTGTATACACCTGCAGGCTTGAAATAAATGAAATGAAAATTACATATTCAATATAAGAAGGGCTTTTATGAAAGTTGGCTTCGATGTCAGCTCTTCCTATCATTGTGAAGCAGAATTCATCAAGCGTTGGATTGTTCACCCACTAATAGGGAACGTGAGCTGGGTTTAGACCGTCGTGAAACAGGTTAGTTTTACCCTACTGATGATGTGTTGTTGCAATAGTAATTCTGCGACCACTGAAACATTGCATTGCTGGCAGGTCATTTATTTAGGCAGAGTTTAGTTGCTACTTATGATGGGATGAAATAATTCATAACATTTTAACTTGTTTGTCATTTCCAGATCTACTCTGTGAAGCAGCTGAGGCCAAAAGTGATGAGCACATTCTCCATCACATCCGGGACAAAGATTGTGTAGCCATGGAGGTGAAATATCATTCCTCAGCAAGAAGGAGAAATATACGGAAAGGTAAATAAGTTCATATCAAAATGTGATATGGATATGCTCAAATTATTGAAAGGAATTCATAGCCATCTAATGAAGGTACAATCATCCAAACGGAGCGTTTAAGGACATCAGATTTGTAGCATACAAATATAGTCTACATTTCCACTTATCAGTACTCATTTTGAAATTATGATTGAATCATTGTGTATCAAAGAAGTCTGGATATTGTTGGCATCAAGAGTGAATGCAACAATGGTGTAAAGACAAATCTTATTGTTGCTAATGAACACACAATATGTATCTTTTAATGTCTGGTAATGCCATTACAGGCCTAAGTCGACCAAGCAGCAATACAGCCGCAGCTATACATTCTGTGAAGAGGTTGTCCGTGGAGTTGGGCACTGCTCCTGTCTCAGAGCCAAGCTATGCTGTACAGACCTCTGCAAATGTGTGACCTGTAATAGCCTGGTTGTACCACACCTTAGTACAAATTACATTTCATACTAAGGTCTGGATTTGCTTCGTGAACAGGTGGGGTGCAAATAACCATCTACCCTAATAAGAACAAATGGGTTACCAAGGACATAAAAAATTGTCTAAGGGAGAAGAAAAGAGCTTTTCTTCAAGGGGACAAACACAGGGTGAGAGAGCTACAGAAGCAATTCAAGAAGCTGGCAACTCAGGGAAAAATGAGGTACAAAGACAAAGTGGAGAGGAAATTGACATCTGGAAACGTGCGGAAGGCATGGCAGGGCCTGAATACCATGATGGGCAGAACATCCAAACCAGGAAAAGCTGACTGCCCAGATCCTGTTTTGCTTGCAGAACAACTCAGAACAATTGGAGCCCGGACACCCACAGCCCGGACAATATCATCATTGATGAACGGGTGGTGACCACCATTCTGCATAGAATAAACCCTAACAAAGCTGCAGGCCCGGACGGACTCAATGGCAGGGTGCTCAAAGAGTGCGCCACCCAGCTCAGTGGAGTGTTCACCAGGCTGTTTCAGCTTCTCTTGAACGCCGGCACAGTCCCCAGACAGTGGAAGGAATCGACCATCATTCCCCTTCCCAAAAAGGCCAGGCCCAGTGACCTGCAGGACTACAGGCCTATAGCCCTGACCTCAATCTTATGCAAGTGCATGGAGAGGGTGGTGGCTGACCAGCTGACGTCTGAACTGTCCGACAAACTGGACCCACTCCAGTTTGCGTACAGAGCTAAGCGAGGCACGGAGGATGCAACCATCATGCTCTTGGACAGGATTACAAGGCAACAGGACTCTGCATATCCTCACACGAGAATCCTATTCATGGATTTTTCATCTGCATTTAGTACGGTAAACAATAACACCCTGCTTCAATGTCTTTCATCACTCCACATTCACACATCACTGATTATATGGATCAGGGAGTTTTTACGGGACAAGCCACAGCATGTGCTGATAGATGGTGTCAAGTCCAGCCAAATTATTTTGAGGACTGGACTCCCCCAGGGCTGTGTGCTGTCACCTGTGCTTTTCTCTGTGTACACTAATAACATCTCCTGTAGCACAGAAGGACTGACCCTTAACATACACTGACATAAAGTACGCAGATGACATAGCACTGGTGGCACACCTCACGGATGCACAGGCCCTAGTACACTATCAGCAGGAGGTCCACACGCTGGTTTGTGGATTTGCTCAGAACTCCCTAGAGCTCAACATCTCCAAAACCAAGGAGTTGTGCTGTGGAGCCACTAGGAAAACAGACTCTGTGGATCTTTTTCAACCCCTAGTCATCCACGGCCAGCAGGTGGAGCAGGTGGACTGTTTTAAATACCTTGGGACAGAAATAGACAGCAGCTTGTCCTTTGGACACCATGCAGACTCTGTTTTTAAAAAGTCACAGCAACGCCTCCATCTCATTAGGAAACTGAGATCTTTTAATGTTAGCAAAGGCATTTTATCAACTGTGTATACCTCACTCATTGAATCCATTCTCACGTACAATATCTCCACCTGGTTCAATTTTCTCACTCTCAAACACAGGACAAAACTCAAAAGTGTAGTAAAGCAGGCCAGCAAAATCACCCAAACACCACAAACTCTGCTCTGTGAGCTGTACAGCCAATCAGTGCTGAGGAAGGCCACTCTCATCACTGAGGATGCCACACACCCGCTGTTTGGCTCCTTCTCTCTGCTGCCATCAGGAAGGAGATACAGAACCCCGCTGGCCCGAAAAAACATCTACAAGAGATCATTTGTCCCATCTGCAGTCACTGCTCTAAACAACCGGTAGCACTGTATAAATTATGAAATGTATTTTTCTTATGTGTTTTAAATGTATTTTATGTGTGTTTTATGAATGATCATGAATCGTGCCGTGTTGAAAGACAAATCTCTGCTCAATTTGAACAGACAATAAAGATCTATTCTATTCTAACTCCTTTTGCAGATTGAAAGTGAGTTGCTAGCATTTAGCATTTAGCCTAGCCATCTCCTTTGCCGCTAACGGAGCCCGTGGGGAGTAGCGCCACAATCTTGACCAGCGAAAGCATTTGCTAAACATTCCTCTTGCTCCTGCTTCAATTTCTTGATAGAACCAGACCGGATTACTTTACTATCGCATTCTTCGCCATTGCCAAACTACAACCTGCCCGTTCGGCGCAAACTCTTGATGTCACCGGCACCGACCTACAACACCCGCCTTCCGCGCTCTCTGAGTAGCCGGTCGAAATACGACCGATTGTATTCGCTAACACAGGGACCAGACCCAGACGTTACATGCAGTGAAATGATGATTGAGCAGAGTGTACGAATGGCTATGGCCAAGCCAGACCTGTAATAACAAAAAGGAAAACAAAGAAGAGATATTTGTTGATCAGGTTGCGTCAAATGAAGGTGATAGTGATTTTGAAGAGTAGTTCTAGATTTATTTATGTTGATATCATACAGCCAGCTGCTTATTTTTCCAAGAGTCTTAAAGGATCAATTCAGTAAGTTGAACATGTGGCTTCATTACATAAACATTATTGTATTGTTTTTCATATTTTGATATTTACATGCTACTGTGACACCTGTCATGTCAGGATGGCACTTAGGAGGAGGTTTGGAGGAACAAAGTTGAACAGAGGCAGCTTCCGGTGCAGATCAGGTGCCAATTTATTGACAGGATTTACATTTTCTGTGGTACAAATCAGGACAGCATGCCCACCAGCACTCTCTCAGCTTAGAGCTGGTGGCCTGCTTTTATAGCAGGTGACAGCAATTAGACCACACCCACTGCAGCTCAAAATACACAAAAAAATACAGCAATAATTAACGCAGTGAATATATCCTCTACAAAATTACAAAAATATACCTCTTTATTAATTTAGCAGTGATTTATTATTTCTACCCCATTACTCAAGTCGAAAAATAAAACCCAGGACACCCCTCCTCTCTGCAGAGTGGATGCACCCGGAACCCTCTTTAGGTGCTAGACAAACAGGAAAACATAAAGGTGAGTAATTACATGTTGCACGTTTACATTAAAACCCAATCTTTAATACACTTTATTTAAAACAATTTAGTGTCTCATTTCCCTCACCTGTACACACCCAGTAATGGACTCTGCTACATTACAGCTACAAATATTTGATGTAATTCTTTTTTTCTATTTAACGTAATCTGATCTTTATCATATTCAATTTTGTGCATTCAAACAATTCAATATGCACACTTTTTTACTTGAAACTTGTAAATAAAGGATTGATATGGTATGAGGATCATATTTCTTTTTTGTAAATACATTTGTTTATTGAAGAGTCACATTTGTCATACATTTTTACAGTTTACGTGTTTGCTCTTTTTATCCCCCAGAACCCCTGCACAATAGAACAAGATATATACTGTACATATGCACACCCACACAAACATATACATACAGTACATCTATATACATACATATAAGATAGTGGGATAAGCAAACTTTCAATCATTCAGAAAAACAGGACACCAAATATAAAAATCATCTGTACTTCCGATAACAGGATTGATGATATTTCACCTCTATGGCTATACAATCTTTATCCCGGACATGATGGAGTATGTGCTCATCAATTTTGGCCTCAGCTGCTTCACAGAGTAGATCTGTAAATGACAAGTTAAAATGTGTTATGAATTATTTCATCCCAGCAAAAGTAAAAACTAAACAGAGGACTAAGTCAATAAAGACATTACATGGGTATACAATGTATAAGTATGTCTACTAATAATATAAAGATGCTAGCATGCAGTCATCACAGCTATGCAATCGTATAGATAATTACTCTGCCTAAATAAATGACCTGCCAGCAATGCAATGTTTTAGTGATCTAGAGTCATACAGTATAAGGCCTACTTGTACTGAATATGTAATCACAGTTAGTTGTAATTATAGTAGATCTATAGGTATATCAATCTTGGACTTAGCGCAACTGTTTTTTATGTAGCTCCTCCCAACCTTATTCATCACAAGAAGAACACCAAACAGAATCAATAAAAACCTGGTGTCATATGTTTTTAAAACATCTACCTACGCTCGTCTTGTCCATAGACTGTATATCACGGGTGCATTGTCGGCAGGTCTCCCACCTATCTTCCGTCAGTTTCTCACAGAGGTTTGCTGCGGCCGGTTCCACATACACGATGCATTTTAAAGGCTGCAAAACATCCATTTCTGCCTCAGAAGACGACGGTGGTGATCCACAACAAGCCTCGCACGCCGTGCTTGTTGACATACGGCGTAGTGATTTAATCACGATAATACGCGTCTCCTATTGGCTAAGCAGTCACGGTTTACAACCTTTTTCGTCTCCTTACAGGAGAAATAGTCCGGCGTAAGATTCCAAACTGTACACTAAATGGAGGAAATTGCACGGAGAGCTTTTGGAGTGTCATCAGATACACTATAGTGAAGCTAAAACCAGTCTCGAAAAGTCATACCCAAGTTTTGGAACGGAAATTGATTTCTAGCCACATATTTGGAAATTACTTATTTATAAGGTGAGATTTTAAGAAGTTTATGACATTTCGTCCAAATATGTTTTGAATATTGAAGAATTGGATTGACTTCTGGAGTTTGTGATAAAAGAGCTAACGGAATGAAGGGGGCAGCACTGTCTCTTTCAATCAAAAATCACTGTTGGCGGCAGAGCATTTAGCTCCAAGCTTCCCATTTATGTTAAGGAAGCAGATACGGTCTCCACATTCAAGGCCAGGCTTAAAGCACTCTACTTTAATTTAGAATATAATTAGGTAATATATAATATATGGTGTGTATATATTATATATATATGCTGTATCATTTTATATATTATGTTATATATTATACAATATATGTATTATGTTGTGTATTGTATTATGTTGTATATTATGTTATATATTATGCTGTATGTTATGTTATGTATTATATATAATATATATGATATGTATGGTATATATGATATATGTAGGGGAATAAAATTGAGAGAGTGATGAGTGTCTCAGATCAAACTTTGAGCTGGTTTTAGCCGCCACAAAGTACTGTTCTGAGAGTTGTTTAGTTCAGTCTTACTGTGAGAAGACCGGGTCGTTGATCGGGTCTCTGGCTCCGCTCCTCACGCGTTGTGGATGTGGAGAAACACGCGGCTGTTGTTCTGGATAAGATGAGAGGCCGTTGTGGTTGTTGAAGAAGGCCCTTCCTTTCACGGGGAAAACAACAATCCTCCTGCACACGCGTGGCAGAATGTGCGCGTACGGCTGTCCTTAACAGAGCGGGTTGGTGAGAGTCCAGTGAGAGTCCAAAACAACGCCTGCTGTACTTTCCGGAGAGGGAGAAAGAGAGTTCAGTTCTTTGAACGGAGGGTTACATAGTCACGCTTGCCTGGCCGCGGCTTGTACGTTGAGTCCAGCTCAAAAGGTACGCGTGACAAAGAACCGGTGTAGTTACAGAGAGAGCAGGTTTCAAAGTGCACGTTAACATGAAGTTACATTTCCAAGAGAGCGTTTCTGCTGGTGCAGAGCTGTTTTGATCCCTGCTTGTGGGCGTGTCTTATGACGTCCAATCCCTGTGACTTCACAGTGGTTTCAGATAGAAATTGAACAGAGATTTTAACAACACACACATTATTTTGACACAGGAACACACAATTTCATTACAGGATACACACGTTTCTGATTAAGACTTTCACAAAACAATGTATTTGTCCACAGTTCGTTTCAGATGTATTGGCGTCCCGCGTCCGCTAGGGGTGGTAGTGAGTAAATCCAAATTCTCTGGCTGCCTGTCTACAAGGCACTGTCCTGTGGAGGCCACATGACCCTTCCGAGGTGATAACACGGCCTCTTTGAAGTAGAAGTTCCTTTGTCTTTGGGTTGGTTTAATGGCCATTTGTGTCCCAAGAGGGGGTGATAGCAGTTGTTTGAAGTGACTGAGGTGATGGCAGACGGCCCCATTTTCTCTGTGGGGTCTGGAAACAGTGGTAGGGGAAAACAGAGCCTTTTGTCTTGTAATTGAATTAGTGTTTGGTTAGCGAGGCTCTGTGGCTGGACTGCTTATCCTACATATATATGATATATAATATATAATTAGGTTTGCCTGGATCGGTTTGCACACCTGGGGCCGTATTCCTAAAGATTCTTAGTGCTAAAAGTTGCTCCTAGAGGCCAAATTCTAAGAATTTTCTTAGAATCTTGACCAACTCTTAGAATTTCCCCTAAAAGTGAGGAGTAGCTTCTAGTTAAGAAAAAAGCTATTCCTAAAGAATCCTAGCTCTTAAGAGTGCTCCTAAGGTGAGATCCCTTAAGAGTTGAGAAGAGGACTTTTAGCAACTTAAAAGTTCCCTAAGAGGACAAAATGGTGGACGGTAGAGGCAGGAGAAATATTCTATACACTGGATGACAGTGAATCAGTAAAACGCTGCAGATTGGTTCCTGCAGGAATCATGTTTAAAAGTCAATCATGTACAAATATACAGTTTTGTTTTATTAACAGCAATCCAGTTCAAAAAGGAGTGTGAAGAAGTTAATACTTTTAAACTCCCACCCTCTATTTATCATTCTAAATTAACTTAAATAGTGTGGTTGCTACAGCTTAGTTTATTCCATGGTGTATTTACAGTTATGCAACAGTGACATTCACAATAACATGCACTTGATTTGTGTATGTATAAAATGCTTATATTAATATTTTTTCCTTAATTCCTTTTACGTCTTTCAGTATCACAGCCTTTACTAATCCTAATGTTATCATAATCATCTAATATATATATAAGTGCTCATGTTATATACGTTTGTTAAATATGTTTGATAAATTGGTCCTGAGCAAGCTCTAATGATGTGGTGTAAAAGTCAAACTTACAACAGTAAGTTAGACAATATTAGTAAATACATCTGACTTTCTACCTTTTCTGATTATTTACAATGACACAGTATTCCTAAGATTAGATTCTATGATTGAGTTTGTCCATTAGAGGATCCTTATTTTGCCCATTATCAAAAATATGGTTTCTCTAACTTTTAGGATCAACCAATCACAGCGTCTGAAATGATGACTCATACCTAGCAACGGGGTCGGCCACGCCTCCTCACTAAGATAAGAGTTGTTGTCAATTCCTTGCTCAGAGTTCTCTAAGAGTGTTCTGGAATAACTTTTAAGCTAAGACTCCTAGCTAGGAGTTTTTAGGTTAAGATAGAAGCTCTCTGAGAGGACTCTTAGAATCTTTAGGAATACGGCCCCTGGTGTTTAATCTTGGCTGCTGCTGCTGTCTCACCTCCTTTCAGATACGCTCTCTTTATTCAAGGCTAGGTTTAAAACAGTCCTCTTTAGTTTAGCATATGGCTAGGAAGGTAAGACTCAGGGAAGGCTAAACTCCTCAGACTGTCAGTCAAGCTGCATAGGGAGTCAGTTTGCTGGGAGAAGTATGGTAACTTGAGCACTATCCTCTCCTCCTTCCTACTTTACCTGTTTAGCATTATTAGGATTTTGACTGTAGTTTGTTCATTGCTATTCACCCGTTGTCCCATTGTCTGTTTCATTGTATGATGACGAGATCTCTGAGCCTGGTCTCCTCCATTTACACCTGCGGACTGCCCTGCCCGACCCGCCTGGGAGTGCTTCAGTCCTGCACCGGACCTGTCCACGTTCAGCGGCCACTGGTCCACGTTCTGTAGCTAGCTTAGGTCCTAGATCATTAGTCTGTCCGTCCGGAGGAGCGGATCCCTTTCTCAAATGGGTCTCCCTCCCTGTGGATTTCCCTAGTTCTCCCCAAGGTTTCTCACTTTTTCCCACTGGACTTTTTCGTCTTCTATATTTTTCATGTGTTTTAACTGTTGATTCTCTGACCTGTGTTGGTGATTTCAATGGTTTTGTTAAGTCCTCTGAGATTACTTCTGTTGTGACCTAGGGCTATACAAGAATAAATTGTATTGTATTGTAATCGCCTCCCAACCCAATTTATTATCAGTCCTGAGACAGTGTTTTGCTAACTTACTCATTTCAAAGGCAATGTTGTAAAGCTCCACATTCGGCAAAGCCAGACCATCATCACCCCTAATCACATGCAATTTTTGCAGACTTATCCTTGGTGTTTTGCCATTCCACTGAAAATCTTTCACTAGTTTCACTGATTATATTGTTTCAAATATTCCTCAGGTATTACAAGTGGAAGCATCATTGAGAAATAATTAAACTGTGGCGCAATAACCATTTTGATTGTGTTAACTTTACCCCATAATGTTAAATTAAGTTTCTTCCATTTCTCCAGGATGTTCCTATTTTTTGTGAGAAGAAGTACCATATTTGTATGCATTATATCTGTTAGATTTAGAAATTATTTTGCACCCAAATACAGATATTAATTTTTCAATACAAGGAGAGAGTTAGACATCACATATTTCAATTATCCTATCAATTCTAAACAAGCTGTTATAAATATAGACGCTGAAAAAGCGTCTATATTTATAACAGCTTATAAATATAGAGTGGAGTGGAGATATCTGTTAAACGTCCTGGATAGATTTGGACTGAACGATTCCTTTATTTCTGTTATGGTGCTTTCAGACCGCAAACGCTAAAACGCTGAAGCCTCGCTCACCAGACTAGTTTTCAGACGCAGGGGTCTTCACACCAGAACATCCTGGCCAGTGCCGGAAGTGGCGGAAGTAGCAGGCTGGCTCTGATGCTAACAGAGTTATGCTAGCGGTTTCTCATGTAAAGATCTTCTCCAATAATGCAGCTTTGCAGGGTGTCTGTGTTCAGAGACCTTCCACGGACTTTATATAACAGTAGTATTTGTTCACGGAGGTGCGCAATAAGTTTATTTTATTATTAAACGGTACTTCCGCATCTGCGAACACACTCGAAGCAGTTGCATAAAGTCGCGGGAGCATGATAACGCATAATGTATATTCACAAGCACACAGTCCCCCAATGTCAACCCTGTTTTTAAGTTGTAGTGTAGCTCCTATTTTGGCTGTTTACAGTATGTTCAGTCTGCTCGCTCAGACCACTAATGTCCCCGTGACCACTTTACGGCTCTCTAATTGGTCGCTGCACGAACGTGCCGAGGAAAGGTTGAGCGAAGTTTATCTCCTGTGGGAGTCCATTTTCCGTTCCTGCTCAGAGTCTGCTTTGGGGTCCAATATACAAGCCTTAACAATTTCCTGGGTTTAATTGGCATATCTTAAGCCTAGTGTGTGTGTGATTACAAACCAAGAAAGATCAAATCCTTTACGCCCTATAGCCACCGCCTGCGTCTTGAGAAGCGTAAAGAGTCGCGCAGCGGCGTGCCGCGCAGATTTGAAAATACGCGCCCATGTTATCAGTGAGGACCCTACCCACAGCACGAGAAGCGCCGCGCAGCGAGCCATGCTCGTCTGGCCAAAAAAGGAGACTCGCGTATTTTTGCTTGCGCAGTGACGCGTCTCCCAGTCAAAACACATGGGAAACATGTTTGTGCTTTGAAGACACCCCATGTCCATATTCTTGTCACATAGTATGTAATGTGTGTACAATACATGAAGTACATTTACATTTCCCACCACATTTGTCTGTGAGATGACATACAGTCTATGGAGATGACGTTTATGTCTAACTCGGTACACCACGAGTAAGTACTAAACAACTTAATAAAGGATGTTTGTGTATTTATATCAGTGTTAGATAGTGCTATGAAGTATACATATATACGGACAGTTGTGATCAGCTAATTATGCAGCTGGCTCCATCTAGGAGTTTCGCGGGCATAGCACCGCTCACCATAGCCATTTTCCGGTTTATACTCATAGGACTTTTACATATTTAGAGTTAAGTTGAAAATAACCAACGACTCATCAAAATAAAAATAACAAGTCAATGTTTAATGTTACATTGACATCAAAACAACACAGGGTCACAAAAAGCAATTGCATTAATAAAAAACAAACACATTTTAAAATGTACATTTCATTTACAAAGATTCCTATAAACTACAATGGGTTCTGTGAAAAGCTACACTATAGCTATAGGACTTTATCATATTTAGAGTGAAGTTGCAAATAAGTTATAACTAACAACTCATCAATATAAAAATAACTACTGTAATCAATGTTTAATGTTATATTTACATCAAAACAAACAAGGTCACAACAAGCAATTGTATTAATAAAAAACAAACACATTTTAAAATGTTCATTTCATTTGCAAAGATTTCTATACAGTACAATGGGTTCTGTGAAAAGAATGTGCACAGCTTGTCCCTTACAGATGAAGCCGCCTCACTGGCTCTTCGCCCTCCCATCTCCTGTTGCACCCTGTGCATATCCAGGCCTCTGTCTCTAGCCTCTGCCAGCCACATCTGATTATCTACATTGTTGCTCAGGAAGTTGTGTAAAATGCAGCAGGAGATAATCACTGAGTCAACATGTTGTGGTGATAGGACAATTTTTGTGAGAAGCACCCTCCATCTCGCAGCCATTATGCCGAAGGCACACTCACACACCGTGGGCGGCACGGTGGGTGAGTGGATAGCACTCTCGCCTCTCAGCAATAAGGTCCTGGGTCCTGAGCATGAGCTTTTCTATGGCTTCCATTGTGTCCTGGACAATCCGAGCCACAGTTGTGACACCAAGTCTGTACTGAAAGGCCAGACTGGTGAAACTTTCACCGGAGGCCAGGAATCTGAAATGAAGAAAAATATATAACATTAAAAGATCATCAATGCATTTACATTTAAGTTTTTTCTCTCATTATAGTTGAAGAATGAAAGCGGAGGTGGAAGGGGCTGAGGGACTCCTATGTCAAATTTAAGAAGTTCCCCCCAAGCGGCTCTACTCCGAGCTCCTCCCGTGTGACTGAGCTCCTCACCCTATCTCTAATGGAGGGAGCGCCCAGCCACTCTGCGGAGGAAGCTCATTTCGACCGCTTGTATCCGTGATCTCGTTCTTTCGGTCATTACCCAAAGCTCATGACCATAGGT